GTATGCGCCTTAAGTGATGAGAGAAATCTGTCTTCCCAAAACCCGCGCGTTTACGGCCAGCGGATGACCGGACACCCTACGAAATCCAGCATCCAATCGGATCCAATTTTGATCGTGCGCATGTGGGCGCATGTGTCGAAGCTCGATAATGATTTCTGAACATGTTTAGAGAGATTAGAGCGGTTGATGCTGGCTCACTTACCATTTCGCCTAGTGTTCTCACCCAAAAGGATCGTGTCAGTCTGAGAACAAGAATGAGATAAGAATGGAACAGTGTACTACACAGGTACGATTGGTTTTGAAGCGTCTTTAAGTGAATGAGGAAAGTGCCTCATCTTTAAGGTATGCATGCATTTTAGTCCTTACCCTAACCCTAACCCACAAACCCTACATGGTCTGAGTTAGTTTTTCTTTAGAGACGCTTTCATGGTCACGCATTCTGGTTGGCACAGTAAGGGTCATCAGTAAGTCGTCCAAACGATGCATGAACGCTTTATAACGAGTTCATCAGAACCTTTCTGTGTTTCGCGGATAAAGAACATTATAAAAGTTTGGAGTTAGCAATTGCAATCGAATACATTACAACACTAACCTTGGATTATTTCTATTAGCAAACAGCCCTAGTTCCAGTTCTAACCAAGGGAGTGGAATTTCAAATAAAATTTCAAACAAATGCGTTGGAGTCTTTCAACTTCGTTTCAGAGCCATGATCGTTTGGCTTGTAGTTGCAGAAATCGAGTCAATTGAAGAAGCTTTCTGTGTTACGCGGGTAAAGAACATTATAAAAGTTTGGAGTTAGCAGTCAAATACATTAAAACCCTAACCTTGTATTATTCCCATTAGCAAACAGCCCTAGTTCCAGTTCTAACCAAGAGAGTAGAATTTCAAATAAAATTTCAAAGACACATGCGTTGGAATCCTTCAACTTCGCTTGAGAGCTATGATCGTTTGGCTTGTAGTCGCAGAAATCGAGTCGATTGAAGAATGAGTAGACATATGGATGACGTAACATATAATACGTCTAGGCAGTAAGAAAGGGACAATGCAAAACATTAATGAAAGAGATAAATGTCTTTCAGTTTCCAAAGAACAGATGATGTCTATGGTCGCAAGAAAATAACAGCAATGAGCCAATCGGAATTTCAAGAATTAGTGCATTGGGCACGAGTTTTTAACCCTAATTTACATATATTAGGGATAAAACGCGTGCCCAATGCACTAATTCTTGAAACTCCGA